TAACAATTAATGCTGTAGTTTGTTTTCAGGTTATGTAGGTTTTACCCTTGTATTTTAATTTCGTTGGTAGGAGAGAAAATGGAGGGTAGTGATTCTTAGGCAGTGGTTTGGAGATTTTTGAGCATAAAAACTCCGCTGCATCGTTTACCGTATCTAAAGAGCAATGTTTTTAAATTTACATTACTATTTAATTCATTACGCTTTATTCTTAACTGATAGTTCAAATATCTCTCTGCCTCAATCAGATCTGAGCTTATAAAGACATTTTTGTAATCATCTGAATTCTTTAATTTTTTGCTGATGTAAGTAATGGGTTTCTTTCAGAAACATCTGATAGTTCGACAATAATTGGTCCTGGTTGAGAGGACGTAGAATTAATACGTTTAACAATCTTTGGTTTTGCATCAGATGCGATAGTAGTTAGTATGTTTTGAACCGTTTCCGTATCGTCAATTTGCTTATCTGCATCTGATAACTCTTTAATACCATGAATAATTACATTTTTTTTTCTCGCTTTTTTTGTTGTTATTACTCAATGGAGAATGCGTTGATAACTGTTAGTTGTTCAAGGGGTATTTTTTTTGTTCTTGTTTGCAACTGTAACCCGACTGGATTCAATATTTGTGGTTGTTGTAATAGTTTGTTTATTAGATTTCTGGACAAGTTTATCTAATTCCAGTTGTTGTTGTTTATGACATTTTCTAGTTCGGATATTATGAGCAGCTATTTTGTAGATTAAGTTTTAAGAAGTTTTTTAATTGCGTCATTGTTTTAATTGAGTTAGTGTTAAATTAGTCATCGCAAACTTTTTTTATTTACAATATACTTTTAAATTCAATATGTAAATGTAATATATAAATTACTTTTAGGTATTATAAATTCAAAGCGTAAATATTTTTTTATAAACATATAATATTTTATTAATAGTAATAATGATATTAATAATAAAATATTTTATATACTGGCTGTTTTAGTTGTGGATAAAACTCTCTCTTAACACTATAAATACAAAATACGAACCATGACGAACAAAGCCACTGCGTGGATAAACAAGTTATATTAAAGCTTCTAAACTACTAAGATAATAATAAAGTATTTAGCATCGCTTATTATACTAAGAGGATATATATATATATATATATATATATATATATATATTATATATATATATATATATATATATATATATATATATATCGTAAATCGCCTAAACTCTATCACTTTGAACATTCATATCTCAGGCATAAAAAAACGTTTTTTCAATTTTTTTTTTCTGAATAATAAACCCAATTTTATCGTTAATTTATATTTAAAAAATAAAATAATAAAAATAAAAACTTTTTTTTTATTTCAGGTAAGAACAGCTACTATGACCGAACTTTTAATACCATCCAATAAGTTTGGTCGCTTATAAATCCTTTTAACACATCACAAATTATAAAAACTAATTTTTAAATGTTGTTTTATTGTAAAATGATGATATAATATCAGGTATTACCAGTAACCGAGAAGGGCGTCGAGATTACGAGAGTTACGAGAAGGGCGTCGTCCCGGGCTTAAAAAGTAATGTCTAAAAGAAAACAACAAAGGATCACATAAAAAATGACTTTTTTAGGATTAATTTTTATTTTTATCATAACTATTCAACCTTTTTATTGCTTTAGCCTTTATAACTTTTGCTATTCCACTGGTTAATAAAGTTATAAATATATTTTCAATTAAGTTAAAAAGGTTTTTTCAATAAACAAAATAACACTTCTTTGCTTTAAATATGCTTTGTATGATTACTGGCGATTCTTGTACATCGTCAACCAAAGTAGAACAGCAGTATCCACACAACCAATTGTCACAGGACTCGCAACGCATCCATAATAGTTGTTGAGTTTTATCTACTGAAAAAATATCAGAAGCTTGACTGTCAATCTGATAGTTCTTTGAATTCAAAGAACTATCAGATTGACAGTCTTGATATATAGAAGTTGCTTTAGATTATGATATAGTCGGAACTTTGATTACCTCCACTAAGAGGTAATCAAACGTTAATTATCTCCACTAGGAGGTAATCAACGTTTCCGTTGTTTAATAGTAAGTTTTTTGAAAAATCAGCTTTTTTTGAAAAATCCTTTGCCAAACGTTTTTGAGTTCTAATTGAATTCGCCTCTTTTTGTTGTTTTTTACGGAAAACATTACTTTTATTTATAATAAAAGTGACAAAGGTTTTCTGTTCTTCTTATTTTTCTTGTTTGTACGTTCAATCAAAGCTTCTTCAGAAGTCATAATGTTTCATGAAGTCATAAACCTTTCATGAGACATATGTTATTATTAGAAACATTTAGCTTTGACTCTGAAACGGAAGCTTTGGGCATGCCAGCATGTAAACCATTAAAAATTGGTGTCTTTAAAGGCTCACTAGCAGTTGTGCCGCATGTTAAAGAAGGTCTTTGTTTTAATAAGCTCGAAGAAGTTTAAGAACTTGAAGTTGTATGCTTCTGTATACTTGAAATAATTCTGTGTACTTGTTTACTTGAAAGAATTTCTGGAATTGCAGTGACTAGTATTGGCAGTACTGGTAAGGCTTGAGTACTTTGCGCAAAAATTGATCTAATAGCTCATTTTTCATTAGTTATTTTATTCCGACACAAACGAAAAATACCTGTTGCTCTAAAGTTGGAGCGCACATTGTCGCTAAAGAAGCTTTGGTCAATTAGTTGTTTGAGCAACCCAGGGTAGCTAAGTTTTGTGACATGTATGAAACCGTTTTGAATTTTGAAAGCGCCATATACTTTTCATCATCCTAAGTACACCTACATCAAGTGGCTGTAGGACGTGGGATGTATGAGCCTGTAGCTTAAAAACAACAATACTCTCTTTTTCTAAATGAATTAGTTCCAGCGTTACATGTATGGCATGGTGATCTAGAAAAAAGACTTTGGATACTTTAAGCTTGCGACAATGTGGGACTAATGTCTTTTCAAACCATCCAACAAAAGCAGGTTCTTCCATTCAGCCAGATTGGGTGACACCATAGGTGACACCGTTTAACCTGCTCTTAGTTAAAATAATTAAATAGTAGTTTGTAAAATGCGGAATTTTCTGGATTCTTTGCACATCTGTTTTAAATGCTTCTTAAAATAAATAACCAAATTCATCATAAATACCTTTGGTCTTGGAATAAAAAATAAACAGGCAAGAATGCACCAAAATCATCACAGCATACGAGTATTGTGACTGAGGCCTTTTTGTTTCTACTGCAAAGTTTCTTAGGCCATTTTGAACCTTTTCGACACACTACCTTAAGATCACATTAAAGGCTTGATTTCATTGAAGGCCAGATTCATCGCAATTAAAAATGTGGAATGACTAAGTTGCAAACCCATGTATATTGTAAATTTCAGAAATTTGTACAAGCCTTGATTAAATAATTTTAAAAAATTATAAAGTAGGTCATTAAAATGCTAGAAGTTAAAAAATCGACATTTTGTAAAGATTGCACACATATTGAATTTTACCTTTTAAAAATTGCGCGTTTTTTAAATTAAAAACAATTTATTTCAAAATATATAAAAATATGAATTTAATAAATACCATCGGTCAATAGTGCCTGGCTGAGTTGACATTGCAGGGTTTGACGGCACATTATTTGAAGTTCTGAGCGATAGCTTATCACAAAGACTTAAAAATAAACGAGTATTACCAGGTAAGTGCGACTTCGTTGCCATCAAAACACATTTGGTTTAAATTAAACAAGTAGTTTTTAACAACACACAGTATTTCAAGTCTAGTCACACTAAAACCAATACCACTCATAAATGTTAAAAACTTTATTAAAATGTCCTCGATGTTGTCGCTCAACCTAGTCGGCTTGTCATTTTTAAAAATACGTTTGCCGTTACTTTTGTCGATTAAAGTTGACCTTTTGAAGCAAAATGTTATTGTTGCAAACTATAAAATTTATAACCTTCAAACCACAAGCAATCCGTGCTTTCTCACGTAAATAAATAGATGACATAGGTATATTAACTTGCAAAGGAACTATTTAAGAGCGTTGCAATATATATTATTATTTTGTAATTAGTTTATATGAGTTTTATAAATTTACCTGAAAATTGACTGGTAACTTTTATTTTAAAACAGGTTAATTTTGAAATTATAAACAAGTTTTTTATTAACCATAGTGAGTATCCATTACAAAAATATCAAAATTTTTCACATGATTTTACAAGATTCTTGTTAATTGTCTCTATGAATTTATGAAAGTAAGAGTATTTAAAAATTTCACTGATTTTCAAAAAAAGTAGACAATACTCAAAAATTGTTAATTTTTTTTTTTGTAAATATAATTAATTTAGTGATTCTTAATAATACTAAGGTTAAATTTGATTATTTATTTTAATACTTTGCTTATTTTAGATTTTAATAGCATGCCTTTTTCCGAATTGTTGTTTTGCTAAACAATTATTTCAGCAGGTTGCAAATATATATATTTTTTTTTTTATAGATTCATATTTACAAACTAATTACAAATATTATTTGAGAAAAAAAAGGTTTGTTCAATTTGAGTTTTGCATGCTAATTTTTATATTTTTCTTTAAATGACCGAAGTTACATGGTGAGCAAACTTGATTTTACGATATATAAATTTATATATATTTGATATAGTACATGGTTGATAATTGTCGCATAGGCATGAAGGCACCTCTTAATCTACATTCAGCTAATGAGCTGAGACCAAGATTTGCCAAACGCGGTTTGTAGTTCATGTTGCACAAATGCGGAACAAGTTTGGCTGCCCTACGTTGAATTGATTCTAACTTTTTAATGTCCTTTTGTAAGAATGGGCTCCATGGGCACACCACTAAAGACATCCATCCATTCAAAGAAGAAATTGTCAAAAACAAGACGTTGTTTTTCACAGTCAAGAAAGTTCTTAAGCCAAATTGCAAAAATCATAGCCAGCCAACTTGAGATGAAGCAAAACATGCGACACACGATTAAAAGTTTTAGCAAAGGCTAACAAAAATAAGCAATGGTGCACAATCATTGCTTAAAGCTTCAGTTATTATATTTAGCACTTCAAGAAGATTTGTAATGCACGATCTATATCTGACAAAACCATGTTGATGCCAAGATACCAAATTATGTTTTACTAGGTGTTCAGTTATGACATCACGCATAACTCTTTCCATTATTTTTCCAACTGCAGAGGTAATGGGAATAGACCTGTAATTTCCAAGATGACCTTTTTTAAATATAGGCGTTATATTAGCGAGTTTCCATCCAGATGGCACTTGGCCAGAATCAAAGGTCTTGATAAGTATTAGAGAAAGAGGCACACTGAACTTGAATTCCTTCATTACGGGCAGGCTTTGAAAAGTCAAGTGCAAATAAATGTTTTTTGATATTACAACAATTAAACAAAGAGCTTGAAACTGGAGAACAAGCAGCTTCGATTCTTCGAGGAAAAATAGGGTAATGAGAGTGAGTTACAGGTGATAAAAACGCTTTAAAAAATTGTCAATTTAGAGAGTCTGCTATAGACTTTTTATCAAATAATTGTGTTCCATTGTGGTCAAAGAGAGATCGAATGTTACTTTTACAATACTTTTGGCTGTTTACATAAGAGTAGATCTTTTTCGGGCAAGATTTGCAAGTAAAGATTTCACTCTTAAACTTTAATACCACATCAGTCACAAGTTTTTTTTGACCTAACGATTTTGATTCTAACTTTTTAATGTCCTTTTGTACAAAAGGGCTCCATGGGAACATCACTAAGGACATCCATCCATTCAAAGAAAAAATTGTCAAAAACAACACATTGTTTTCTACAGTCAAGAAAGTTCTTGAGCCAAATTGCAAAAATCATAGCCAGCCAACTTGAGATGAAGCAAAACATGCGATATATATATATATATATATATATATATATATATATATATATATATATATATTACATGCGATATATATATATATATATATATATATATATATATATATATATATATATACATGCGATATATATATATATATATATATATATATATATATATATATATATATATATATATATATATATGTATATATATATATATATATATATATATATATATATATATACATATATATATATATATATATATATATATATATATATATATATATATATATATATATATATATATATATATATATATATATATATATACATATATATACAATTTTAGTTTGTATTTCTTTAAAATAAAACTTTCAAAAACGAACTTAAAAGTAAGTTTATGGTAATAAATATTACCATAAAAAGAACAACATAGGTATTGTGGTTTATCGTCCTCCGGCTAGTATATATACAGAGGCCACATTACTAAGGCCCGCAAGGACGAGTTCAACTCGTTAAAGAGCATCATAACTCGCTTCGCAGACCGAGAGTAAGTGATTTTGAGAAGAACGAAGGCATTAGTGTGAAAGTCAGAAGAAGTCGAGTCAAAAAATAGCATAGAGAAAACAGATAGATATTGCACTAGGTGTTAGACTATGCAATTAAAAAGAATAACATATGTTACGACACTGGTAAGCTAAAACATTTTCTTGTCGAATGCGATTGTTTATGTAGTATGATATGCCTGACAAAAACGTAGCGTTTTGACGAACCATGCTGAATAAATTCAAGTTTAAAATTTTTTAATTACCAATTAATATCATCTGAAAGAAAAACTAAAAAAAAAAAGAATTACAACATATATTCGGAATGATCAAGTTACTAAAACTAAAGGTGGCCTTTTAATCTCAAATGCCGATAGTGAGGTTTTTGCAATTGAAATAACTAGTAATAAATCAAAAAAACATACTGGTTTCCACAGTGCCGGTGCCCTAGGCGACCGTCTACTTTTCCTTAATGGTAGGGCCGACTTTAGGCCGACTATCTGAAGGTGATTTGTTTAAATTTTTCAATTATTTAAAAATTTTTATAAAAAAAACAACAATAACCAAAATAAATATTCCATATCGAGGAGATAATTAAAGATTGCTTACCATATAACAATACTAAACTTTTAAACTGTTAACAATACTAAACTGTTAATAATACTAAAATGCTAATAATACTAAAATGTTAACAATAATAAACTGTTAACAATACTAAAATGTTTACAATACTAAAATGTTAATACTAAACTTTTATTTTACAAAAAAATCAAAAAAAGTAAAATCAAAATTCATATGACGAAAAATTACGAAGTTGCTATTTAACAATTTAACTATGATACTTCCCAGAAATATTTAACAGTTTTTAACTAAAACTGATGAACTCGAAAATCCATTAAACTCTCTTAAAATACTTGCCTACTCGGGCCTGAATGACATTTGCAGTAATATTATTGTTAATGTCTTCTCGGAGATACGCAAACCTTTCTAAATTTTCAAGTCATTGATTAAAATAGGAACAGTATTAGATAAATTAAAAATGGCCTAAACTATACCAATTTTTTAAAACCTGTGAAACATTCCTAATAAATAACTACAGTAGTACAAAAAATACGAAGCATTGAGACAAATCTCGATACTTCCTACTTTTTCTAAAATAATTAAAGGAATAATCTACAATAGATTATATAAATATCTAATTCAAAACAAATTCTTAAATTAAAAACAATTTGGTTTTGAATCACAACACTAATATATTAGCATTTTGCAAAATTTCAATCTATAATATTGATGTAATCTTAAGATATTTATGTTCTTAGGACGTTAACTTGTTCACCTTTTTTTGCTGATTCAGCAATTAATTTTTTGAAATTAAAAAAAAAAAATTGCAATACGTTTTAAATTTTTTATCTATTATGCTAGTAATTCATAAAAGGTATTTATAATGTGTAAAATATAAGAAAATAGAAATAATGGCACAATACCACCTTAAAAAATTGTATGCAAACATGTTTGCTACTGACACAAATTTATTCATCACCATCAATTAAGACATCCATTTAATTAAGTCAGATTTTTCTGTGAATAATGACCTTGAGAACTAAACATCTGGTATAAAGTAAATAAATTGTCTTCATATAGAGAGATAAAAAACAGTATTTTTTGTTCTAAATAATATACTAAGCAATACTAAATGAAGAGTTTAGTGCTAATAGTCACAAAAAAAAATGTTTTGAGAAATTCTACTTTGATGAGTCATTTTTAATCCTTATTTTGAAGTGTTATATTTCTGATCAAAGTAAATTTCTTTAAAGTACTCGTCTCAAAATATTTATTTTGTGACGAGTACTTTTAACACTAAGCTCTTCAAAAATACCATTACTAAAAATTGATGACATAATGAACATTAATGACATAAACATCAAAAAAACTGAAGCAATAAAATTTCTTGGGATAGTTATTGACAAATAGATTTCTTCGAAAAACAATACAAGTGCAATAAATCAAAAAAATTAAAACTTTTTCAAGAGAACCTAAAAGTTCTCTACTTTTTTTGTTTTCAAAGTTAACTAACAAACGCTAAATTTACATTGGGAAGTACAAATAAATTTAAATTAAATTGTCTATATATACATTTAAAACATACATCAAGAATGATTTATAACGCAAATAAACTCACTCATGCCAATCTTTTATTTGAAAACCTTAATGCATTAAATATCTATCAAATTACCATCTACCAAATACCCAAAACAACATCACACGAAAAATAGAAAACTCTACATTCTTCATAAAAAAAAATCCTCTAGATTTTCAGTTGTATACAGTGGCCCCTACTTATTTAACAAAATAATACCTCAAAACATAGAACTTACTAAATTGGGTAATCTCATTTTCCTTAAGAAACTGAAAATCTTATAGTTAACAAAACCAATTTTATATGTATTAACCGTAAAAGGTAAATAATAATAACAATTAAAAAAATCAACTTTTAAAAAACATTTAAAAATGAACAATAGTTTTCTGAAATTACAAGACTTATTTTTGAACTGATAAAAATGTTTGATGTTTTTAGAAGTCTTATAATAACATCGATGTGACTTATAATAACATCGAACATTTTTATTAGTTCAAAAAAAAGTCTTGTAATTTCAGAAAACTATTACTCATTTTAAAATGTTCTTTTAAAGGTATTCTCATAAATAGATATTTTTGAGAAAATCAAGCTCAAAACTACATAACATACTACTTAGTATGTTATGTAGTTTTGAACTTGAATTTGATTTACCTAGGAAATATTGTAAGCATGCAGTTTTACTTTAACCCAGCAAGCACAACCAACGTTGAAAATTCGTTGAAAAACCGTTGAAATTTATGGTTGAAAAATGGTTGATTTTTGGTTGAAATGGAAACACAAATCAACGTTAAAAAAAAAAAACGTTAGATCAACGTTGAAAATAAACCAAAAATCTATCATGGATTCAACTAACTTATATACGAGTTTATAAACCTCAAAGATACAGTTTTTTGCGCCGTGACTCTTTTAATCCAAAAATCATTTATTTTTTAATATTGTGTTGTTATGAGTAAGAAAAGAAATAGTATTCTTCATAAACTTATAATAGCTGTACAATAACTTATTCTATTGTACTGCACATCTTGTTCTCAATTTTTACTGCTTTCTCTTATTATTATTATTATTATTATTATTATTATTATTATTATTATTATTAGTTTATTTTATATTATAATACAAACTGTTGCTATAGTATTACAAATAATCTACCTTGTACCATTTTTTTAACGCAGGTAACTAAATTATAGAAATTGAAAGGCAATTATTGAAAGCAAATAAAACCAAAAATATAATTTATACATTTTTAGCAAATAAAACAAATTAAAGCAAATAAAACTAAAAAAATAATTTATACATTTTTAGAACAATAACTTATACAAAATTAAAGTTATTTTTAAAACGATCTTGATAAAATCATGATATCGTTATCTTTATCACCAATATCAAATTCATATGTATTTTTATCGCTTTCAGTTATCAGACTCATTTTGATTTGATGCATTTTCCACAATCCAGTCAATATGGTACAACCTACAAATGGTCTAAATTCTATTTTAGTGCAATGTGTATTTTTATTTAAGAACATCAGGTAACTGCATCTAAATAAAAATATCTTTAAAGTAAGGTACATTTGTACATTTTACAAGTATTATTATACTTTACATTTTTCAGAAGCCAATGTGAACATTAAATGATCAATAGTAGAAAAAAAAACAACCCATTACTGATCTGTGCCTAATTTACTTCATTATTGACCAAGATATCAACCTATTTGGATAATTATACATTATACACCAACATCATACATCAACGCAAACACACACACATAACACAAACCTTTTCGGCAGTTATACATCGCTTAAGTCAAACATTCGTTTAGTAGAATCGTTTTCCATGGTTTCCCGGAGGGTCAAGATATCTACAATTAACTGTATTTATATATACATATATGCATATAATTATACACATATGTATATTAGGGTGTTTCATATTTTATCAATTTTTGAAATTGAACTCGCGAATCAATTTATAAATTGACCATTTATATGAAAATAAGTTTGAGCAAAAAAAAAATATATATATATATACTTTTTAGGGTCTCCACAAGTTTATCCTATAAAATTTTTTATTCTTTTAAATAATATATTTTGGGTTGAATATTAATCACATAAAAAGAGCATGTTGAAAAAATAAGGAAATTAGTCTATTGGCGTATTTTAATAAATTTATTTTTTAGTTAACAAACTTATTTTAAAGAATAATTTAAGGTCCCTGCCAGCCCCAGGCGTTTAAAATACCCTACATTTTTGCCCAAAATCGAACTGGCGGGGACCCTAAAAAGTAAATATATATATTTTGCTGAAACTTATTTTCATAAAAATGGTCAAATTATAAATTGATTCGCGAGTTTAATTTCAAAAATTGATAAAATATGAAACACCCTAATGTATATATACATACACACACATAAATCAACTAAAATGAAATCTTGGTAAAAAATGTGATAAACAAAATCTTAATTAAGATCTGAAAAACCAGACATGAATACAACTGAGAGGTTAAAGTTAAAAGACAAATCAATCTAGACTAGTCTATATAAATGTGATTTGATACTTAATGGATATATTAAAATATTAAAAAAAAAGAAGAAAGTTAGGGAAAAAGCTGTTTATAAACAGCTTTTTCCCTAACTTACTTTTTTTTTTATAAATTGTTTGCTGTTTTGAAGTCTGTCTATAAGAAATCTTAGCTCTAATTTGAGCATGATGTTAGCAACTTTTAATAACTTTTTCTTTTTTAATAAGTGCTAACTTTTTTAAAAATGCTATAAATAAGAAAATAATAAATAATTAATAGAAATATATAAGTAATTATAATCTTAATAATAATAATAAATAAAATAATAAGAAGAAATAAGAAATTTATTTAACAATTTGTCATTTATGCAACTTGATGATTTAGATTATATTGTGTAAAAAAAATATTCGCAGAACATTGTCATGAATGGTACATTGTTGATATATCAAGACAATTATCTATGATGGCAGAGTAATAAAAGTTAATTAAAAAAGTCATAATTTACATTCTTTGTTATTTTCATATTGTTTATATAATGATATATGCATTATATAAGCAGAATGTGTTTTATTTTAATTTAAACTCCATTACAGTTGAACAGCTCAACATTAACAATACATTAAAAAAAAATCTTTTTATTCTTTAGATCTTCAGTGACTGGCTCCTTTCTCTGGATAAGCATTATATGCAAATGACAAAACAAAGTAGATATATTTAAAAATGACTTTGTTGTATACTTTAGCTCCTATATTATCAAAGCCTACATTAACAAGTCAATTTTTTGCTTTTTTAACTAAAACTTTAAATTTAAGTTCTGTTCTACTGTGCGAGCCATCTTTATTTTATTTTAATAATGCAGCAATATATTAAAAAAAAACAACGATAAAACGAAAATATCAACTGCTTTGGAGTAATGTTAACGCCTGCAGTCCAGTTTATATATGATTTTACTTTACCTGATGTTATTATACCGATCCCTAACAAAAAGAATAGAATGAGCAGCCGTGGCGCAGTGGTTAGAGTTCTGGCTCAGAACCCAGAGGTCCGAGGTTCGACGCCAGCTCTAGCCTAACAAGTGACATTGGTACGGAAGGAGGCGTGAACTTCCTGTTAAATGCTCTCCCGCGGTGCTTTATGATAAGACCGTAAGGACTTCTGGGAGCACCTAAATACATACAAAAAAAAAATAAATAAATAAATACTTTACATAAGATTTGATAAAGATTAAATGGTCTTTAATACTGCTCTTATAAATATATGTTATAACACCTGTATTTTCATCACATTTTAGTTTAAACTCATACCAACCAACTGATGTGTTATATCTTAATTTTTTACTGTAAATTTCACTTTTCGATTTGAAAAATGCACTAAACCATTCTTTATTCAACTTGATGGAATTTCATTCATACAAACATATTGTCTTTTGACTATACAAACCAAAACATACTGGTCCACACTATAGTTTCATAATTATAATAAGACTTTGATTGTATATTTGACATATATATATATATATATATATATATATATATATATATATATATATATATATATATATATATATATATATATATATATACGTTTTTTTTTTAACGTTGAACTAACGTTGAGATAACGTTGAAATTTAGATCGTTATTTTTCAACCATTTATCAAACATGAAATTCAACGATGAAAGAACGTTGAAATAACATTATGTGCTTGCTGGGAAATGGTTTCCATAGTGTTATATGCTACAAAGCATTTTCAAATTTTCTTTTCATGGGCCATTTATTATGCACCATATGGCATTTCCAAATCGACTTTTAAGTAAAAAACCTTAAAATATCTGGAATAAAGATTTTAGGTATGTACTTTTGTGTTCATTTTGTGCTCAAGTATGACCAGGTTAAATTTAATGATAACGTATAATCTAATATTTTGTTTACGTAATCCAATCATCTTTGTATTTCCTCTTAGTATCATACAAAGATTCTACTAGAAATTTTTTTAAGTTGTTTAGTAGTGGTTTTTCAATTTTATTATTTTTATGGTTTTTACGCGCCACAGTTTCTTTTATCAAAATCATTGTTCAAATAAAAGTATATATATGGTTACTTAAATTTGTCAGCAGCTGCGGCGCAATGGTTCTGGGCAATCAATCAAGAGGTCCAAGTTTCAATGCCTGATTTGGCCGTGTAAGCAATATTGGTAATAAAAGCGGCATGATCTTCTTATTTAAATGTTCTTTCGCATTGTTTGTGACAAAACCATTTGGTATTCTTGTAACACGTTAATAACCTGAAACTTTTTTTAAAAAATTACTATAAATATTTTTTTAACTTGATATTAAATTATTTACTAAATATTCTTAATAATTATTTAACTTAATATAATATAACTATTTAACTTGATATATAAATTAACATTGGCACTTAATATTACTTAAGGAAAACTTGATTTATGAATAATTTGGAATTCGGCCATGCTGCATTTTTGTACTTTAACAAAGAAAATGAGATAACGAAATTTTTATTTGAAAAGTTACTAAGTATAAACATATTTACAATTCATTAATATTTACAAAACATATATAAACGCCGTTTGAGAAAAAGCGCCATAAACATAATCACATCTATAATGCATATTTTTAGATGGTCCTACATTGCTGCAACCATAACCGTCTTTACAACTTGTTACTCCTATGCCAACTGCATAATCATCGGGAAAACAAGTTGCACTCCTGTCTCCAATACAGCCTATTCGAACAATATGAGTTGTTGTGGGAGGTTTGTCATTAGGATTACTTCTTTTTGCGTCACAAACATTAGCTAAATTTAATCCACACCAACTTTGCCGTAGTATTGATAAATCACATGACTTACCTACGGCTTTCATGAAATTAGCCATTGTGTATTGCTCTTCGGGAACAACACCAAACTTTGTTGCAAATAGTTCAGATAGAGGCATGTTTTTTCCATGCGTGAATATAGCACAACCCGTATTTGGACCAGTAAAACATAAAAGCAGAACATTACTCGTAATAAGATTAAAGCCTATATTTTTCATAGAAGTTGTTCTTTTGATATCGGAAGCTGTACCTTCGTTTAATGTTTCGTTATTAGCCCACAGCTCAGATACAGGTGACCAGTCAGTAGCTTGACCTTTGACTCGGGCTACCAGAGTCCATCCACCGGCAAGTGCAGGGCGTTCATCATCACCACTGCCACCTCCTTTAAAAAACTCACACCAAGTCTAGATAATAAATTCAATATTAAAATAGAAATAAAAATAGCAGATCTCTAGCAGCCCAAGTTAAGCACAAGCAACGACCGGTATTTTTATGGCTGAAAATAAAACTTAATGCAAAATTAATTGATATAAATAAATCCGGTCTGATCGAAAGTCCCATAGAATGGTGGACAACTCCAATGCATACTAGGTGTTTTCGGACCAACTCTATCGCAACCGTATCCATCGTAACAACTAGATACACCGAGTCCTATTGCGTAGTCTGCAGGCGTACATGTAAACGATGCAGCTCCAATGCAACCTATTCTAACTATATGATTAGTTGGATTTAAATTTGGATTCATGTCTTCCGGATGACAAATATTAGCTAAATTTAGTCCACACCATTGCCTTTTAATCTTAGAAGTATCACAACTTTTACCTATAGCTCTAAGAAGGTCGTCAAACTTCCATTTTTGTTCAACAACGACACCAAACTCTTGAGAAAAAAGTTCGTTCAAACGCATTCCCATGTTGTGAGAAAATTCTGCACAATCTTTTTGTGCTCCGTCAAAACAGACTTTTATTACGTTTGCTCTCATAAGAAACCAGCCATGATTTTTCATTGCAGATCTTAAATATATATCTGAAGATGTCTCGTGATTAAAAACACTGTTGTCTGCCCAAGCGTTTGAAACGCCGTTAAAGTCGTTGCTTGTGCCGTTGACTCGGGCAACTAGAGTCCAACCACGATGACCATCAAAGTCACAGTAAGTCTACACAACATTAAAAGTTATAATTTATGGATTTTTTAAAAGTAGTTTAAATAAAAATAACCAAAAAACAGCAACAATTATAACAAACCTTGAAGCGAATCCCACTAACCATTAACCAATAGGGCCCAGATTTGGCATTAGGATTTTTCTCATAAATTGCCTGACAGCTTGGAAGTGGATTTCCTTCACTAAAAATTTAATGTTTAAAAATTTAATATAGAAAGTTTACTTATTGATAATATACAAATAGAATAGTTTAAAGTAATAGTTAGTAATGTACTTACGTTCCCGGTACGCCAATTGGCCTAAATGGAGGTGGCGGAGCTTTCTAAAAAAAAAGAAAAAAAATTGTTAGTCGCGCCCCTATGTATTTTCCGGCTGTTCAAAATTCTTGTAAAAATCGTTTCTCGGCATTGATTTATTTATACAGACGAAATAGAAGTTAATTTTAATTTTACAGACCGGAAATACTGGGCACATCTGGTTCGCAATAATGTTCCCATCCCCCACAAAAAATTCAAGATACTAAAACCATCATCATTTCATGATTATTATTGTTTTAAATATAAATAAACAAAATTTTGTCTTATGTTCCATGAAGAAATGACGATTTAAATAAAAGATTTACGGGATATTAGCATGCGTAGAAGGCCTCAGCATTTCCAAACAAAGTAAAAAACCAATGCCCACCCAAACAAGAGCCATTGAAGACAGATTAAAAACCAAAACTTAGTCTATGTAAAGTATAATTTACTATTAATTAGTGATAACATTTAGGACAAATTCTCACTCGTTACATAAGTAATTTCATGCCCAAATTTTTTTAGATTGCTATTTTATACAAAAGGATCAAACGGTCAAGTAATTAGGTTACTAATTATAATTAATTTTCTAAAGATTGTCCTGTTCTGCATGACTGATTTTCTACTGAATAATATAAGCCTTAATTTTACAAGTGTGACGTCAAGTCTTTAGCTTCTTTCACTCGATCCATCAAATCTAGTTCTGCCATTTTCAATTTGGCTTTTATATCAACCATTGAACGAAGAGCAGCTGTCGTAGGATCATGCCAGACTCTCATTGGACGTGCATCTTCAATTGGTTCCTTAATAGCTTCCTCGTTTCCGTTCTTTTTAAGTTGTTTCTTAACTGCAACAGAATCCTCGTTTGTGCTGTTTTCTTCTTGACGAACCTTTTCAGTTTTCTCCTTTTTATTATTTACAACAGATTCTTTCTGATCAGATTCGTCTGTTATTTCTTTAGACTGATTCGTTTCTTTTGCTTGCCCAGATTTTAGGGAATCAGAATTTAACTCTTTATCTTTTTTTAACAAATCTTTTGTTTCACTGGGTTCTTTTGAGGTTTTAGAGTCCTTAGAGACACTAGTGTCTTTAGAAAGGCTAGGTTCTTTAGACACACTAGAATCTTTTGTGTCACTTGTAACCTTTGTGACACTAACATCTTTAGTTTTTTCAGTTTTATCTGCTTTTGAAGTTTCAGCATCAACTTCTTTTTTTTCAGTCTTTATTTCTTCTTTTTGTATATTTTCAGTCTTTACTTCTTCTTTTGGCAATACTTTTGGTTTGATGTACTTTTTTTTAATTTGATCCCTTTGAGACGCGTTCATTGAGTCCTTATTTTTATTAGAATCTCCTTTAGGAGTGGAGACATCAGTTATATTAGAAAGTACGTTATGTTTTTTTGAAGCTCGTTGTTGTACCTTTTTACATATCTTTTCCAAATAATCAATTCTGTTGGACAAACTGTCGAGTTCGTCAGGCGTGCACTCAAACAAGCCATTTATCTAAAGAAAAATTTAAAAAATTTGCAATTTGAAGTTAATTTTATGTTTTAACCAAAACATAATACTTTATATCTATTTTTACGTACCTGTGAAGAACATGTTCCAGCATCTCCTTTAGGGCCACGTGAACCTTCAGGCCCTCTTGGACCCATCGGACCCATGGGACCCTATGAAAAAAAATTTCAAAATAAGAAATTTGATAAAAAAAAAAAAAATCGAAGGAAAAAGGTCTATATTGGCAAGTTGGGTAAGCGACGTAAAAAGTCTTAATTATATTAAAATATATTTTCTTTTTGCGTCACTTTTATCTTTTTAGATACGTTTCAGGCAGACAATAAAAACATACGATAATAAGATAAAGTTTTCTTCCACTGATTTTCAGCAATTTCGGGACAAAAGACAAAAAACCAAAATCAGAAAAATGATATCGCCTTTAAAACACCACAATATTTACGTGAGTATTTATAATCACGTGGATATTTATCATCAAATTATTATAATTATTTTTTTTTTGATTTCTGATTTAGAAATGCAATAAATTATATAAATTCTCTTTTTTCATCTTAATGTTGATTTAATTGATTTCAAAATAACTATAATTAGGTTACACTCTAAAAAAAGGCAGAAGTTCCTACCTTTGGGCAGGTTATATACCCTTAGTTATAAATTACAATCTTCGTAGAAAACTTCATTACAAATTTATCATACAATTATCTACCTTAAAGGTATAATTTTCTAGACAAGAGAGCAACAAGTCGATAAAGTACTTTTTTTACTATTCTCACCTTTATTGATAAATTTTAAATTTCATACAATAATCTCTTAGTTTTCAAAAATTATGACCTTACAAAATTTGTAACCCCCTCAAGTTGAGGGGGTACAAACTTTATATGGTCATAATCTTTGAAGGCTAAGAGTATTGTATGATATTTAAAATTTATCGATGAGTATTAATTTAGTTGAGAATAGTATAAAATATTTTTTATTAACTTGTTGTACTCACGTTTGGGGCAGGTGTAGCTAAAAATTTAGGGTTTTTTGTTTCCAGTCAGTTAAAAAAAGATCAGTTTTTTAAACTAAATTAATAAAATAAAAATTTTAATGAAATTAAATTAAAAGATTAAAGTTTAAAACTTTTTAAATCTTTTAAAAATAAAACTAAAATTAATCAATTTAATAAAGGCTAATTCCAATTATTTAAGACTGACACATTAGATGTTACGTTTTGGTGTAACATTTCGCCAACATTTTATCTGTTTGTCAATAAATACTTTTTTCAATACATATTTCATATTTGTTTTTTTATTGAATTTTTTATGTCAGATCTGAGGTATTGTGCTTTTTAAAGGGTTTTGACAAAAATAAAATTTTGAATTGAAATGCTGTAAAAACCATTTTAATTAAAAACTATTCCTAGCAAAACATATCTAACCTTAACTTGCCTATCTATGGCCTCTTCCCCTAAAACATATCTAACCTTAACTTGCCTATCTATGGCCTCTTCCCCTAAATTAACTCTATATTGTATAAAGACTAGAACAGAACATGTAAAAATTTCCAAACACACAAACACACATACACACAAATAATAAACTTGCAAACCTAAAAATGTTTATAAAAATAAACTAAATGAACATGGTAAAAAAAAACGCATACTTTATTTCCCGGTTTACCGTCTTTACCATCCTTTCCTTTTAAATGGAGATGTAAGATATTTTGATCGGATGGGAAGGGACTATATAATGCTTGGGACTAAAAAAAAAGAAGTACAATTTTAAATTGAAAGATTTCAGACAAAAATTTAAAAGAATTTTTTATATTAAAAAAGTATAGTTAGCTTCAATTAGTTGGAGAGTACTAAAATAGAAATTTACATAAAAACGATCATACAAGAGTGGTCAGTTGCATCTGTTGTCTACTTTTGCCTTGTTCTTCGTAACCTTTGGATTGTAACATTTCTAACTTTCCACTACCACCTTCAACAATTGGTATTAAGTTTAGACCACCATCTTTGCTTCGAGCTAATGTATAGTGAGTAGTTCTTTTTCCTGCAGCTTCTAATTCAATTTTTTGTTTTCCCAGATCAAGTTCTTCATGCACAATGTGGTTTTCTAAAGAAGAACCTTGCGGTTGTGCAATTAAGTCATTTATCATACTTCCTTCAGTAGAAGCTGAGATTTGAGTTTTTTCAATAGCATTATTTTTATTTGTCGAAGGGCTGCTAAGACTTCCAGAGGGGCTACTAAGCATGCCTTGCAAATCGTCTAAATTTATATTACCATTTTTATCAGGCTGAACATCAATGTCTATTTCTTTATTGTTATTCGGATTAGGTGAAAACTGCTGCATTAAATTTGGTGATGGTAATAAGACCTCTTGTGTTTGGGTTTGCTGTTGCTGGTTTATTGCAGCGTTTCTGGCGGCTGCAATTAATGTGCCAAGATCAACAGTTTGTGTTTTTGGTTGCTCTTGTTGCTGTTGTAGTTGTTGATTGCCTAACAAATCTTGCAAGGTAAACCTTTTGGCACCATTTTGAGTCGTATCCGGTAGTTTTACTAACTGGAGCAAGTATAGCTGAGGGAGAAGGAGAAACACGAAATAACTAATCATTATCCAGTACGTTGGAACAGAAACTGAATTAAAAAAAATTTCGGAAAGTAGATAAATTTTGAATTTTTCAACTTTAGAACTTGAGAAATTAAAATTAAATAATAAAGAAAATTAAAAACTATTTGCAAAAATATTATTTATAAGTCAAATTTTACGCTGGTAGATTTGACCAAGGCAATTATTAAACAAACTTTAATAGCAAAACAATAACAAAGAGGAACTTTAGCATTGTTAAGTCTACAACATTTTAATGGTTTAACCATCTCGAAGAAAAATAGTTAAAAATACCTATAAATTTTTATGTCATCTCATGTTAAATAGTTTGCGTTTAATAAAAGTTTAAAAAACACTCTCATTGTCTTTTATAAGTCAATAATTTTAAATATAAAAAAGCCAGTTCATACACACCAAAGTAATACTATTGTATAGGTATACCCTTGGACTGACATGCTTAGACTCAGTTTCTGTATGAATTATTCTTTCATGGTTCGATAATTATGAATGCGCGTAATATTAAAAGCGTTTATGCATCTCCACAGGTGTTTCTGTTTCAGTGAATAATTGCAAAGTTTTTGTTTGTAAAAATAAACAAACAAAATCAATTGATATTGTAAACTAAATTTAATCTACGCAACAAAACCAATTTGTACAAAGTTGTCATATAGCTCAGATAAAAGTGGAAAACTTTTACGTTTTAAAAACTCGTGACATAGACGCGGAAAAAAGTTTAAATTCAATCAAAAGTGCAAAAGAAGATTTTTTTTACTTTTGCTTTTTTACTAACCAAAGTTTTAAAAATATTCAAAGTTATTTTTCTAAAATAATTATTATTGTTTTGGTAAATAAAATAGTTTTGATTGCTTTATTTGGTGATCAACAGCGAAAATTAAACTTCGATATTTTTACATCTATATCAAATAAAAATCATTTTCGAAAAACTGCAGTTATTTGAGATTGGAAACAAAGAAACCCTAAAACTAATCTCCCCTCTCCCCCAATCCAAACGTGAGGGCAGTAAGTCGCTAAGTTTTGTACTATTACTATTCTAAACTAAATTCACATTTATGAAATATTTTCAAGTTCATCAAATAATGTTTAGTAATCAAATGTTTTGATCATGTGATGTTTTCATCTCAAAACAAGAGGCTTATAAACTCTATTTATCATGGTTTTAAACACTAAAGTATTATATACTAGATGAAATTTAAATTTTCAAATCACTAAAGTATTATAAGATAAAATTTGAAATCTGTTTATGAATATAAATTTAGTTTAGAATTAAAATACTAGCCTACTCAGTAACATAATGCCCTCACATTTTGGGTTATGTGGCACAAGATTCAGTTGTTCAACTTTCCTATAACTGTAGGTTTTGGCCCAAAATTTAATATAAACATAAAAACACCTGATTTCAAAATTTGCTAGACGTCTGAAATCTGTTATCTATTTCAAATACCAAAAAAAGCAATCCTTAAATATTTTTTTTCTAGTTGCACCACTTGTCTAAAAGTTATTTGAAAGGAGGGGGGAAAGAGAGAATCTATTTGAAAGGAGGGGAAAAAGAGAGAGTCTGTTTGAGCCTTTTTCAAAGTTTTTAAGCAGTATTACTCCATAATTTTTAACTATCAAATCTTCATTTTAAAAATATTAACAAGGGAAAGGGTTATAAGCCTTTTAATGTCTTTAACCATTTTACAAAATTGGAACAACTATAGATGCATTCAAAATAGTTTGACAGAATAGCTAAAGGTTTATCCGGAATAAAAGTTAACGCATCTTTTAAAACCTGCATCAAATAATCTTTTTATTTGTCTAAATAGACCTAGTTTTATAAAAGTTTAATCATCAAGTCTATCTAATCGTAAGCAAATCCAATATCAAGTAAATTTGTTTGTAAAACTCAATAAATATTAAGTTCGATTATTCTTAAACATTATATAAATAATGAGTTCGATTTTTCTTAAACACGCCTTTGGCATAAAATGTTGACAAAGAAAACTTAAATTTAAAAAATTATTGAACAGTTTTGTACAAACTGTCATTGAAAAATCATTTTTTTTAATATTTTATAATTTTTATATTTGTTTTAAATTGTCAAAAGATTCTTTTCCAGTTTAAGCATTTGCAAGGACAATCAGTTTCTTTCAAGAATACTCAAAAGCTTGAGCTTAAAATCACCTTTAAAAAACGAAACAAATACCTTACCCTATCAAAAACCATACCCTCTAAACATAACTTTAGCCACTATCTAAAAAACCGTAATCCAAACTCATTTTTTATAACCCCAGTCACACCACAAGAAGTAAAAGATTATTTACCCACGATGAATCCAAAAAAGAACACATGTCTCAACAGCATTCCCACAAATATACTTATCTTAGCATCAAAAGAACTCAATTATACATTAACCGCTATGAAATGAATTGTTTAAATACCGGAACATATCCTGACCTATTCAAAGATGCTAGGGTTATTCCAATTTTGAAAAACGCCTCAAACACAAATAGTCTTAATTATCGACCAATTTCACTACTATCCACAAGCCAGCACAATTGTCTATATAAGCTTCAGTTTAGATTTTGCAAAAAACATTGTACTAACCAAGCACTCATAGACATAACCGAAACTATACGCGAAGCTTTAGATAATAACACATTTACTTGTGGGGTTTTTATTGACTTGCAGAAGGCATTTGATACTGTGGATCAATTCTGTTATTAAAGTTATTATAAAGGTATCAGAGAAGTTTCTCACTCATGATTTAAGTCATACCTCTTGAACGGTTCTCTAGTTGTTACAATTTCCAATATCTTTTCTAATACCAAATCAATATCTGTAGGTGTTCCCCAGGGTTCCGTTCTTGGCCTTCTCCTTTTTCTTACCTACATTAATGACCTAAACACATGCACAAAGTTCTCAAAAACATATCATTTTGCTAATGACACTAACGTCCTAATAACTAAAAAATCACTTGAAAAAATAAAACAACACCTTAATTACGACTTGGCCTGTTTGGTTCAATGGTTAAGATCAAATAAAATATACCTAAATACTAAAAAAACTGAAATAATTCTATTTAAACCACACATTGTACAAATTCAAATAAATTAAAAAAAAAATTCAGAATCAGTGTCCAAAAGTTAAAACTTGTTAGTCCAATAAAGTATTTAGGAACAATGTTAGATGAAAACCTTTCCTTCACACACCAACTGAAGCAGACTACCCTTAAACTCATCCGTGCAAATGGAATGTTGGCAAAGATCAGGCATTTTGTTAGCTACGAGGCTCTCATAATATATACATATATGCTATATTTAACTTGCATATGCTTTATGGATGTTAAAAATGGGGGCAAAATTAGTCAAAGTATACAAAGAACAATCACTTAAAATAGTTCATTTACAATCTAATAGATTTGACTCAAAGATCCTCTATAATCTCTCAAATATTATATAGGTAAAAGATCTAATATTCCTAATATTCTAATATTCCTGGAACAGTTTGTATAATAACTTACCAATTAGCTTTATTAGCTATTATAAATTTGTTAATAAAAGTCATTGCCATAATCTTAGATCAGCATCATGTAATATAATTTCATCAAATATAAATCCATTAAATCATGGAATTATCTTCCCTCTGAAATCTAAAAAAAGGAAGTAGAGCTCTCTTCATTAACAAAATCAAGGAATTTATCCATAAAAATAATAAGTAAAGTTTCTGCTGTGTTATTTATCTCAATTATAATTTTTCATTTTGTTTTGACCTTATCCTTTATACCTGTAAAATTCCAGTTGTTTTTGACTCTTTTCTTAAATAACATGCTAATGCTGATGTTCTTGCTACTGTATTGTTGTCGTTTTATTTAAGAACCTGTTATTATTATTATTATTTTTTATTATTATTTTTCAAGTGTCTTTTTTTATATCATTATTTTTAGTGTTTTTATCATTATTATTTTTATTTTTATTATAACATTACCTGATATTATTATTTATGTACTAGTAATATGTTTTATATTTTGTCAAATTAACAACGAATGTTTGTAGGTCGTCACGTTTTTGTGAGTTAAATATTTGTTTGTAACTGATCCTAACTTTATATTTACTTTATAAAGTTGAATAAATGATTGATTGATTGATTAAATCATAGTTTCAATTTACTGCAGCAGTAAATTTTACGCAGTTGCGTAATTAAATAATTTTTTAAACGATCGATTTCTAAATATAAACTTTTTTATAAAGAATAGTGAATATAAGCGTTTTTTAGTGTAATTTTTTAAACTTTAACATTGAATTAAAGCACTTTCTATTGATTTTTAGAGATATTTCATTCTGAATCAGCACAGGGTCTTCTCCCCATTCTCCCCTATATATATATATATATATATATATATATATATATATATATATATATATATATATATATATATATATATATATATATATATATATATATATATATATATATATATATATATATATATATATATATATATATATATATATATATATATATATATATATATATATATATATATATATATATATATATATATATATATATATATATATATATATATAAATATAGGGGAGAATGGGAAAAAGTGGGACACGTGAAATTTTTTTTAGGGTTATTGCAATATCTTTTATATTTGATGTATAAACTGAACCAAACAAGTTTTTTACGAATAAATCTTCTTTTTAGGCACCGATTCAATCCCCTCTGATTTCCAACCAATCATAACTAAGTATATAAATTTTTGTATGTTATCATGGTCTACTTAAATTACACGACTCGATTTGTTGCATTTTCCGTAAAAGTTTGAGGCCAGTTTTTTTACGATTTAAAAGTTCTTTGTTATGGTTCGTGTTTGCACTACTAATTATTGTATTAAAATGGTTAAATAATAGTAGAATAGTTACATTATTTTGCTGGATTTTTCACTAACTGATTCCCTGCTTCAGTTTATTCCAATAAAACAGAATACTGAAATAGGCTTTCAGCTATATATCAACATGCTAAATATAACCTTAAATGTTGCTAAGACTGCTTCAATCTGTGCATTGTAAAATTAAAGGTTTGTATTTATTATAATTGAAGTTAAAAGAAATTAATAATAAGTTTTTTATTAAGAATGTTTATTGCGTCTTAATTTTTTTTTTATTTTTTGGCTTGATCTTTTCTTACTGAATATATTTGTGATACATTATTACCTCCGCCTGAATTACCACCTCCCCCCATTGAAAAATCAAAACGAGGTTGCACTCTCTAATTATAGCTGTTAAAAGCGTACCTAAGATTACCTAAGGTTAAAAAGGTTAAAAAACCTGTAAAAGTAAGAACAGATGGAAGTTTATTAAATGGACTTAGCGTAATAGTTTACCAGAATCATAATGGTATATACAAACCAATTGATTGTGCATCTAGGTTTCTTACGATAACTGAAAAAAATTATTATCCGATCGAAATGGAAATGTTAGCAGTAACATGGGGGTGCACACGAATGTCTAAATATTTGTATGGTTTACCAAATTTTATATTAGAAACAGATCACAAACCATTAATTCCAATATTAAATTATCGTTCACTTATTGATATGTCTCCAAGAATTCAACGTTTAAGAATGAAGTTATTAAGATTTTCATTTACTGCAGAGCATGTTGCTGGCAAGTCTATTACTGATGCAGATGCAATGTCTCGTGCACCTGTATTTAATCCTACAAAAGAAGATGAGATTGCAGAAAATGATCTGAATGTGTATGTTAATTCTATAATAAAAAGTATGCCTGCTACAGAGAGTCGTTTAGAAGAGATTAAGGAAAAAACTGCGGAAGATAAACTTTTAAACCAATTGCAAGAAAGTATAATTTCTGGATGGCCAAATTCAAAAAAATACTGTCCGGCAAATATCCAACTTTATTGGGATTTTAAAGATGAAATAGTTAAAATTGATGGACTCTTATTATAACAGAATAAAATAATAATCCCAGTTAGTATGCGGAGAGAAATCCTTTCAAAATTGCACGAAGGTCATTTGGGAATGGAGAAATGCAAACGTCGTGCACGTTAGAGTGTTTTTTGGCCAGGTTTAAACAACCGAATTGAACAGTTAATTAGAAAGTGCGAGGCATGTATGAAGTATCTGCCATCAAAGTCAAAAGAACCTATGCTAACTCCTGATGTCCCAACACGGCCATGGCAAAAACTGGGAACTGATTTGTTTCAGTGGGCTAATAAAAACTTTTTAATTATTGTCGATTATTATAGCTTGTGGACTGAGGTGTTTCTGCTTCCAAATACTGGATCAGCAAATGTTATACAAGCTTGCAAAAAATCTTTTTCTAGAAATGGTATACATGAGGAATTAGTGTCAGATATTGGTACCCAATATAGTTCGAAAGTGTTTCGTCAATTCTCTCAACAGTGGCAATTTAAGCACATAACAAGTAGTCCACACTATGCACAATCAAATGGTTTAGCAGAAGCAACTGTAAAGTCAGTAAAACTGTTGATAAAGAAATGTTATATGTCGAATGAGGACATTTATAAAGGTATCTTAATTTTGTGTAATACTCCAATAAAATATGGTTTATCTCCAGCGGAACTATTACATGGACGTCAACTGAGAGATAATTTACCCAGGTTTCAATCTCAAAATAAGGAACAGTCGAAATATTCAAGAGAAATAGTCAAAGAGAGAGTTCAATTTAAAAAATACTATGATAAAAATATTGGTGTTTTTAAACCATACGTCTATAGACAAGGTCAAACTGTTGCAATTCAAAACGAAGTAACTCGTAAATGGAATCTTAGAGGTAAATAATGAAATGTGTTGTCCCTAGATTATATGAAGTAAAATTAAATCACAATAGACATATCCTTCTTCGAAATCAGATTCAACTTAGAAAAGTTTACGCTATATCGGCTCCAGGGGTGACTCGGGATAATGGGGCTACAATCCTCAGAAGACAAGCTATTCCGTCGCTTGAAGAATGCAATAGTGGTACAAATATAATATAATAGAAAAAAACAACTTAGTTGAAAATACAAAAGATCGATTATCAAGTCGTGGAAAAAGAATAAAGAATAAAGTACCAATCGATTATGAAGATTTATGAACTAACTTGATTTCTTGACATGTATATATATATATATATATATATATATATATATATATATATATATATATATATATATATATATATATATATATATATATATATATATATATATATATATATATATATATATATATATATATATATATATATATATATATATATATATATATATATATATATATATATATATATATATATATATATATATATATATATATATATAGTTTGTTTATTTTTATTAGGGACATGTGTCATATATTATACATGTATATATACGGCCCGATCTTATATATCGGTGCCGGTCTTTAAGGAGAATATATTATGAACACAACAGTATGTTGATGATAGAAATTATGCATCTGTAAATTAATTAGTCATTTTTTAACTTTCTCTAAAAATTTCTTTATATCTGACTGAATTATCACTTCCCCCTAGAAAATCGCTTAAATTGCACCTGAATTATCACCTCTCCCTAGTAAATCAATCAGTATAAGATGTTGTGATAATGTTATTTAGTGATAGAAATTATACAACTATAAATAATTAGTTATTTAATTAAAAATACTTTAACAAATTCTTTATATCCGTTTGAATTATCTCCTCCTACTTGTAAATCATTAAAATTGCGTCTGAATTATCATGTATCACCTAGTTAATTACTTAATCGCAGTTGAATTATTGTCTTCCTCTTTGTAAATCACAAAAAAGCGTCTGAATTATCACGTCCCACCTTGTAAATCATTAAATTGCAGGTGATTTATCACCTGCAGGTGATTTATCACCCCTAGAAAACCATTTAATACAAGATGTATGATAGTGGTATAGAATAATAATTATAGAAATGGTTTAACTATATTATTATAATAACTACTACAATTATGTATCTTTATATCATTTGTACTGTAATTGGAATTTCTAGACCTTTTGGTACTTAAAATGTACAACTATTTTTTTCCTTTAAGAACATTGGATGAAAGACTAGTGTCAATTATACTTTAATTAGTATAGTGATTATTCCAATATACTACAATAATTTTAATTTAAAGATATATCAATGTTAAAACAGTTTTTTATTTTTCCAAGTTTTAAAATATCAACTTTTTAATATATAAATATTTTTAAAAGCTCTATTATTGCCATTTTTTTTGTTCTGTTTTTATAAAATGGTGTTGCATATTTTATACTTTAACGATTATATATTTTATGCAAACTTAATAATGTCTATGTATTATTTTCTTTTTTTTAGTTCGACTTTAAGGTTCTATCCTTCTTTGTTAATTATGTTTAATTTGTCTATTGTTGAAATATAGTTTAAATTTGAGTAAATTTTCATGCTTTGAAAATGACTTTAATGATCATTAGTCAATGGTTTAGGCAATTGAATTATAAGGTTGAACTCAAGACAATGTACGAATATTAGTTTTTGTTTGAGGTATTTAAACCGAGGTTTTTATATGATATACTAGCTAGATCTGGTAGCCTTAGAGAATAATAGAAATAGAAACTTGTTTAAAAAGTGTTGGTTTTAATTTTTTACCAAAGTCTGACAGGTTTTCCATATAAAAATAAGACTATTAGTTGGAAATTTAAGAATATTTCAAAATTTAGTTTTCTTATGAACTTATATTTTAAATTTTATATTTTTGGATTAAGGTTATCATTTCTTTTTTTCCCAATATGTATAATGATTGTACTTTACTTTTATGTTATGTTAATCATTTATTACCTAAAAAGTCTTTAATCTTTTTTTTTTTTTTTTTAAATGGCTAACAAAATTTTTGTATTTTATTTTATACTTTTATTATATTTACATGGTTTAATGCAGTTCTTTGTTTTATATTCATATTTTATTCTTTATGGTTTAATACAGTTCTTTGATTTATATTTTATTTATTTTAATTGGTTTAATACAAGTATGATGTCTGAAGA